TTGAGGCATCCGTTTATATCGGGACATCCAACATTTTGAGGCATCCGTTTATATCGGGACATCCAACATTTTGAGGCATCCGTTTATACGGAGGCATCCAACATTTTGAGGCATCCGTTTTATATCGGGGCATCCAACATTTTGAGGCATCCGTTTATATATCGGGGCATAAAGATCTAAGATTTTCTTTTGTTTTGAGAAACAAAGCAAGTAGGAAAATAAAATTAAACAAAAAATGTAAAAGATATTAGTTTAAAAGGTCGAACGAGATAGAAAACGAAATTTAGTAACATATCGAAATCCAAAAACAAAATATGCGTTAAAATTTAGATTCTAGAAGAAACGGGAATGAAAGAAAATAAAACCCAGTAAAATCAATGACTTCGTAAAACTGTTATGAGAAACAAGTGTGAAATAGTTGGTTTCCAATCTGAAAATATTACAAAAAAGGAAAAAAAAAAGAAGTAAACAATGTTTCGAGATTAATTCACAGGCCATAAGTTGATGTCACTCCTCCAGTACATGACGGAAAATCAAGCAAGCCTTGTGAAGAAGTACTAAAGCGATGCAAAAGATAAACGAAGAGAAGAACAAGTAGAATAAGTCACAATAGCAACCAAAATATCCACAAAATTTCTGGATACATGAAAACTACAAATCCCTTCACACGTGAAAAAAAATGTAAATTGAAACAAAAAACGTGCACCATGTCTCCTGTTAGAAATATTAGGGCTAGGACAAATAAAATTTTTAGGTGATGATGGCATTGATTGAAGAGAAGGCTGATCTGAGGGGAGTTAAATGAGTAAGGAGGAGGAGGAAAACAGAAGAGGAAACAAACTCGATTTGTTGGTTCCGATTTATCGATCTCGATCGATCGATTTGGGGGTTTGGTTCGATCGATCGATTTGGGGGTTCCGATTCGATCGATCGATTTGGGGGTTCCGATTCGATCGACCGATTTGTGAGTTCCGATTCGATCAATCGATTTGTTCGATTTATGGGTTCCGATTCGATCGATCCACCGATTCGATTTATGGGTTCCGATTCGATCGATCGATCGATTCGTGGGTCCGATTCGATCAATTTCTGCACATCATGATGGTAAGCAATTTGTGTATAGGATCCGAAAGGGTAGAATTTCATATGAGTATCGATGTTTTTTACAAATAAAGAACAATCTCGGTTTACTCGGTTCGATTCCGAAGGGGAAAACAATCATACAATACAACGACAAGAGGTCTGGAACTCCTAAGATATCAAGGGGATCGAGAAGAGCACCTGATATGAAGGGAGAACGAAGATCGAAGCAGAGCAATGGGCAGGCGCGGGATCGAGACTAGGGTTTGAGAGATGGAAGAAAGTTTAAAGAAACTGGATCTGGGCTCTGTATTGGGCCGGCCGATGGGCTAGAGATTAAGAGCCCAGATTATGGCATTCTTGAAATAAAAGTTTCATCGTAAATTTTTATAATTAATATATAAAAATACAGGGACGAAGGATTCAACCTCCCATCCCTCCTAGGAAACAAGCAAAGATGTCTTAATGATTGAATTAAGTTCAATTTCACATCATTATTTCTATTATTCACAATAATTAAAAAAATCATAATTTAATTAATTTCAAAAGTTTATAATAAGTCTTTTAACTTTTTGATTTTTTTTAGTACAACATGTAAGAGTGGAGGATCGAACTCACAACGTCTTGGTTTAAGATATATGTCAATTATCGCTGAATCATGTTCGTTTGACTTTCAATTTTAAATTATATATATAAATGTGGGAGGGAGATTTGAACCTCTAATCTCTAAGAAATTAACAAAATTCCTTAATGACTAAGCTATGCTCATTTTAACATAATTATTTTTTTTATACAAGACATAATTATCTATTTAGTTTGCAATAATGGAAAGTTTTTTTTATTCATTATATAATTAGCTTCAAAAGTCTATAATATCTTTTGAATGTGTAAAAAATGTCAGACTCTAACTATGTCACATTTATGACAAGTTATCTTAATTATTAAATTAATAAAATTAACAAATGTATCAAATAGTCTAATAACAACAATATGTAAGTATGGAAATTCAAACTCGCTGTTTATTAATCGGGATATATCTCTTAATAAGTGAGCTAAGTTTAGATTAGTATCTTGACATGTGATAAACTAATAAGTTTATGAATTAATTATGTGTCAATAAAATTTAACAATTTTAAAATTTAAAATTTTAAAGATTAAAGTATTTTCTGTTCTTTTAATCTTCTTTTTTTGTTAAGGAAAATAAATTAAGGATCAAATGTTGCATTTTTTTGTTTTATTTTAAATAAAAAATAAATTTAATTCAATGTCATAATTTAATCATGTAAATAAAATTAGCATATCATTATCAATAAGGTGAGTGGAGATATATTTTAAATTTAATTAAATGTCATGTAAATAAAATTAGTATATCATTATTAACAGAGTGAGTGAAGATATATTTTAAATTTGCATCTAAAATAAATTTGCATTCTCTGAGATAATATGTAATAAAAAAAGTAGATTAACTTTCCACATCATTGGATCGGTTGAATGACCTTTAAAATATTAACTTTTTTTTTTCTTTAAGTCAATATTTTGAAGGAAGAAATAGTTTAAATAAACAAAACGACATGCATATTTCATATCCTACAAAGGAATTTTTTTTTCTTTTTTTACTGAGAAATCATATTTGCTTAAAATATATTCGTGCAAAACAATTTGTTTATTTATTATCTCTCAAACCATTATTAAGAAAAATAGAGGGAGATTCTCTTTGCTTCATCTTTTTTTTCTTCATAATCTTCGAAGCACTTAGACAACAATAATCTATTTGACTCATACCCTCATTTATTGTACTAAAAAAACATTATTTAATCGTTAAAACAATATAATCTTTAAAAGTTCGAACCATCTCCCACATGTTGTATAAAAAAATAATAATAATAAATAATTATAGCGTCATTTATTTTAAAATTAATGGTTAAGAATAAATGGGGAAGAGTTTTATATTCAAACTTTTCACATTCTTCCCCTACTGGTTTTAGGAATGTGTTTAAATTATTAGTTAGAATGTATATTTGAACTTTTACTTTAAAAATTATTTAATTATTAAAATGAAAATAATAAATAATAAATTTTGAAAGTAATGTTGAGATACTCGTAAATGAACGGGAGGTAGTTTAAGCTTCATTATTGCTAATAAGCAAATATTTTCCTATTATGATCCGCTACTCAAACAATGCATTAATAAACAATCGCTTAAATGAAATAAATATATAATCTACATCTACATCTATATCTATAATATATATAAAAGTACAGATGTAGAAATGGAAAAAATATCTTTCAATAATATTACCCTTCATTTTAATAAATACCACTATATGTCCTTTTACTAATCCCTATAACAGGAGGTTTTGTTTCTGTCTTTTGATTTTTGATTTTAAATTTTTTACCATTTAAAATTATTTTTCAATTTTATTTGATTTTGCATTTAAAATATTAGAATATGAAAAAATTTATGATTTAATAGCATTTAATTATAGGTAATTGATATGATATGTACTCCTATATCACCCGCACATGTTACAGACTAGTGTATTTTTTTTTTTTTTTTTACATGTTAAACGTTATTTTTGACACCGACATGTAAACGTGTTACAGACTAGTGTATTTAAAAATTAAAACTTAAATAAAGGAGCCAAATCACGAGTGGGAGTAGATGATTTTAAATAAAAAAATCATTTAATATAGACCATTTAAACGTTATTTTTGAAAATAAGGACAAAATTGTCCAAACAAAATTTCTTCTTCATGCTTATATATATGTGTGTATTATATTATATTATAGATAATTACAGCAACGAGAGATCTAAGAGATGATAATAGGGTCTTAGAGATGGAAATAATTTTTATATATTTTAAAAATAATTTATCTTAATATCTTTTTTTAATTTTTATTTCACTCATGTGGGAAAAAAAAATTAAAGTAAGAAAAAGTTAAAGGAAAATATGAAAATTTGGCCAACGGAATCACGGAACTGATCTTCGACTTCCATACCAAACAATTATCATATACAACCAGTGATAGTGAACCTGTAAATAAACGAAACGGATCCGCCGGAACACGGCCGGAGCTACGACGGCAAGCCGGCGGATACGAATTCCTCACCGGAAAACGATGCGACGACGGCGACGGAGGAGGTTCGGTTTCCGGTGAGGCGTTGAACGAAGATCTTGAACTCCTCAGGCCGGACGTGGATAATCTTCGGCGATCGGAGGTACACGATGACCGGAGACCGGCGATTCGCCGTCGATTTCTTGAGGATCTTGACGGAGGCTCCGTTCACCGTCAACGGCGGCGGCCTTGGACCGCGCAATTGCAACTGGTTCCTCGCGGCGGCGGAGCTCATTGTTTCTGGAAATCGCGCGCTAGGGTTTGGGAATTTGGTTAGATTTCTTCTACGTGATCTTCTTCTTTAATTTGCTCTAATGAATTAATTAGGAACGTAAGTGAATTGAGTTTAAATAGAAATAATTAATCTATTCTCTCTCTCTCTCTCATTAAATAAAATATGATTTTAGTACCAAGTCAATTACCTTTTGGTTGCTAAAATTGCTTGGTCATTTTGCAAGATTTCTAGAGAAAGAAAAAAGAAGAGTTTAGGTAAGAAAAATATTGATTATGCAATAATAGAAGATTTCACCATTTCTTTTTTGCCTACTTGACCTTCCAAAACTTAACAAATTTCTTCTGCTTTCATTGAGCTTTGATTCCTCCTGTCACGGCAGAGGATCAAACTTGACGTTCTTGTTTATTTTCTAGTTTATAGTTTTTAAATTATTAGAGAATCTAAACATTTTGCAACTAACTAGGTTTATTGTTTATCATTTTTTGAAACATTCTGTAATAAAAAATTTCTTATTATTTTTTTTTTCTCATTTCCAATTATGATTGTTTTATTATAATGAGGATGGAGCAATGCAATTAATTTTTTTCTTTATTAAAAATAAGAAACATACATAAGAAACAGGAACGACTTTATAACTAAACAGACCCTAAAATAGCAACATATACTTATATATAAATGGGTAAATTACGATTTGGTTCATATGGCTTTCTGTATATATATAGTTTTTACGTATGATTATAAAAGTTATATTTTAGTCATTATGGTTTGAGCTTAATTTTGATTTGGTCTCATAGTTTGTTTAAACCTCACAAAGCATATCTAAATTACAATTTCTTCTATTCTTTTGTTGTCGCCTTAAAACCCTAAAACGACCAATTACACAATTAGCCAAATAGGGAAAAAAAATACTACAAATATAGTTACAACATGGATGATTTATAAGATTTAACTAAACTATAAAGACTGTGAGCCTCATGGTACTCAATAGAAATTTTGAAACTATGTCTAGAGACCAAATTTGTAATTTGACCTATAAAGAAATCAATATTAAGTTTCAAAATTAAGGGTAAAAAAGAACGTCTAATAAAAATTCAGCTACAAAAACCATATATTTAAACCAAATCAAATAAACTATTTAAAAAGATATTGAAAAAGTCAACCTTGAATCCTTGATTGATTTATTTTTTATTTTTTATACTTACATGTTTGAAACCAACATGTTGTTAATTTTTATATATTTTTCTAATTCTTACTCAGCTGATCTCCTAATTAAAAAAAAAAAAACTATCTAGATAACGTTTGTTTATTTTGTGGCCAATAATATACCCAAATAAATATAACAAACGAGGAAACTTAAAAAAGAAGAATTATTTTATTTTATTAGTTTATTATTATTATTATTATTTTTGCATGGTCGGGGATTCGGGGATGGTGAAACAAACATGGAAGAAAAGGCCAAACAAATCCTGTGCTTTGAATTGGTCTTTTCGAAAATTTTTAAAATATATTTTAGTTTGCCGGCTGACGGCCTATAAAATGTTAATTTTTAATCTTTATTTTAATTAAACTTTTTAAAAACGTCGGGGTTAAAATCGAAAATACTTGTGGAATATATTCAAGGTCTTAAACAATGATGGAAATGTTAAAAGATTTTAATTTTATAAAAATATCGATAATATATCTACGTCAACAAATATTTTTTAAAAAAATTACAAAGATAAAAAATTCATAATTAAATTAACAAATAAATTTTTTATACTTTCTAAATAATTCAAGAACCGTTAATTTTTAATATTATGTTCATACTATTGATTTGATATTTTTTATTTTGTCGATTTTTTATAATATTGTATAGAAATGTTGAAAAATCCCTCCTATTATTGTAAATCAATTGACATTAAAATATCCATAGAATCTAATGAAAATTAAAATTTGAAAAATGGGAATCAAATAGTGATATAAATTTCTTATTTCTAAACTTAGCATTTGAAATTTTTATTGAAATTTATATTTTATTTTGGTGTTTAAATTTTTAAACTTATTATAGTTTAGACTCTAAATTTTGAAGTGCATAGTATTCTAGTATTTTCACATGTATTTGGTTTTTAAAATTCTGTGTAAACAAATTGGTTTTTAGTATTATAACGTATTGAGATGGTGTTCGAACTCACAATTATAATCTATGGTTGAACATATATGTCAATTATCGCAGAACTATGCTTGCTTTGACGTGTAAAAAATTGTTCGTTGTTTGTGTTGATTAATTAATAATTTCCATAAAAATTTGGATGTCTTTTGAGGAGGTTTTTTTAGGTACGTTAAATGTTGGGACGAGGGATGGAACTTCCGACCTTGAAGAAATGAGTCAGGTGTCTTAAATGCGGAGTCATGTTCATGTTGGCTTTGAGGAGGGCTTCTTTCACACTCCTCTAATTAAATAATTCAAAATAATACTTGTAGTATATTAAAGAGTTACCATCAAATTCAATATCATAAATTTGTAATATCCAGGCTTAAATACTATCTTGGTTTTGATATTTTTATCTTTATCTTATTTTAGTCATTGTACTTTTAAAATGATCATTTTGATATTCGAACGGTAAATTTTTGTTCACTCTAGCCATTGTATTTCTAAAACATTTGCTTTGTCTTTGTACTTTTACTTTCAAAAAATGAGCAATTTGATCCATATTTGCAAAATTTTAGCACATTAACTTTTTAATACAGATTTATGATTACTTTTCAAGAAATTTAGTGAGTAAAGTATGGTATTAATATTATGATAGAAAGAAATGAGATCAAAATGAAAATGAATAAAAAAAATTATTTACAGAAATCAAAATTAAACCATAGACTAGAATGAAAACAAAATAAATAAAAGTCAAAGTGCACCTACCAAATTAGTATAGTAACAAAACTAGAATTTAATCCTATTTATAATAATTATAAAATCCAACGAGTGAGATTTTTTAAAATATAAAATAATAATATATGTGGATAGTAAACGAGCAGTTTAAGGAGGGTCCAAGTACTCGATAGCTCTATTAAGACAATGAATATGTTCTATATTTCTATAATAATGTTATCAATTTTAGTTTTAAAATTTTAGACCTTTCAATATAATAATGTTTCCAAATTTATGATTAGAAACATAATTACTGATTGAGCCTCAATCTCTCCAACAAATCTTTAATCAAATGAAAATACGTAAATACGTGCATGTCAATTCAGACGAATATCGGATGAAACTTCCCTTACAACAACGGTTACTTTTATCTCTTATAAATATCCTAGTCATGGTGGTGTAAGGGTGGGCGAAAAGTTATCTTTTATTTAAAACTAATTTCTCCAGTTATTGGATGGTGACAAAATCTTCGAAGTGCTAACTCGGTGTCATATCTTGTAGTATTCTCGAAGATTTATTGTGACTATCGAAATATTTTTCGGTATGAACAATTACCATGAAATATATTTTGATAATAGGGGGTAATATGACATTGGGATTTTTATTTTCAAACTTAATGTCTCAAATTAATAAGAGGCTTAAAACTATTAATTTACTAAAAGAAGTAGTGAATTTAAAAGAAATACAAAACTGTCCTATTAGTTTGGTTTATTGCTCAGGTATAAGTTGTGATTTTGAAAATCCACTATTTTCTTTAGAAAATAAAATCCAATATTTATATCATCTGCAGAACACTTAAAATATTTTTATTTTTCTCTAAGAGTTTAAAAAGACTGATATGAAATTTAATAAATCATATTAGTCAAAGTTTCTACTGGAAGAACTAAATTGAAAATTTCATGAAAGTTTGGGGTGAATTAATATTCTAAAAGTTAAAATACTAGGTAAAACAGAATTATAGTTTAATCTTAATTTGTTTATTCTATTTTGTTTAAACTTTCAAATATTATGTTATATTTTTTAAACTTTGCATACGATCCAGGGTAATGTTTGTCATTAATTTTCTTGGTGCATTAAATAATGAAATATGGGCTTAAAAAAACTCAAATTCAAATTCAAATAAAATAAATTTCACTCTACAGACATAAATTTAATATGTATTTCTAAAAACGTCACATTTTTTATTTTTATTTATTCAAATATACCATAATTATGATGGGGTGTTTTATGTTATATTTAATTTTGATTATGATTTTATTTCAAAAAAACAAAATTCTGATTATGATTTGAAATTATGTTTTTTTTTGTTATACCATTACGAAATTTTTGTTATATTTGAAAATACATCATTTATTTTAAGTCATTTACTAAAATGCCTCATTAAGGAAGAAAGAAAACTTACAATACATTTATACATAGCATAAATTTAACATGAATTTCAAAAAGTATGTAATTGATCAAATACCTTATAGAGACTAAACTAAAATATGGAAAAGTTAGGACTATTTGAAAGTTGAACCAAAATATAACGAATTCGAGTATGATTCCGTGGATAAAATATCCCTTTGAGACAACGAATCCCTCCACACCTCCATATTTATATAATATTGTTCAATTTAGATATAAACCCTAATAATTTTATCTTTAATATTATCCACATTTGTTGAACTAAAAAAAATACAAAAATAAAACATGTGTAGAAGTTGAGGGATCAGAATGCATAGAATTTAATTATCCCAGACCATTTTTTAGTACAATATGGTGGTGAATACATAATTTGAAAGGAAAAAAGCAAGTATAATAAAACTTTTAAAAGTTAACCAAAATTATAATTAAATCTAATAATAATAATAAAAACAATAATAGAAAAAAATGTTAAATTCTAAAACAATGCAAAGTGACATGGGGGGCTTCAATGAAAGCACCATACCATGCAAGAACCGTCGATGATGGAGGATTCTGAGCGATAATTTCTCTCTTTATTCTCTCTTTGTCGCACGAAGCTGGGACGTCGATCGATTGAGGAGCTTCCAACGCTTAATCGTTGACGATGATGATCAATTTCTCAGAATTTCATCAATTATGCCTTCTCCACTTGGTTACCTGTCTCGCTAATTCAACGTTTTCCTTTCACTTTCCTTTGTTTTCTTCCATTTTCTTTTCCTCTTCCTCCTCCTTTCGTCCTTCTCCTTCATGTTTTTCTGGAATTTCTATCTCATTCTGATTCATACCACATCTTGTTTAGTCTCTGTTTATTGTATTGCGATCGAATTTGAGATTTCAGAGGACGTTTTTGGGCGTATTGCGTGAATTGGATTGCATTCATATTGGAGGCTATTTGCCGTTTTTGTTTTTGTGTTTTTTGGCGAATCGATCGAGCTTCTGTGATCCTTGAGTTGAAGACATTATTGGTTGTTTGATCTAATTTGGGAGCTTCGGGTTAAATGCTCTGGTTCCTTTCATGGGATTATCGGAGATCAATTCGCGAGTTGGGATTCAGAGGATGGAAATTATGTCGAGGACTTAGAGTTTGCTAAATTGATGGGGAACACATGTGTAGGACCAAATCTGGGCAATAATGGATTCTTGAAATCTGTTACGGCCGCAGTATGGCCGAGCCGGCCACCGGAGGAAAGACTTCCTCCGCCCAAGGATGGAACTGAGAGCAGAAGTAAGACAAATTCGGGTTCTGATTCTTCCAAAAATGCCGATGCTCCCAAAGATTCAGATCCTCCAAGTGATGTTCAAAATACGCCACCTGAAACGGTGAAAATTAGTACCGATGCACACAGAGCAGTGGAGCGCGAGATGTCGTCTAGAGTGATTAAAGATGAAACTAGGGCTCCAGAGGGTGCGAAATCGAAGAAGGCCACTCATATCAAGAGATTATCGAGCGCAGGACTTCAAATTGATTCCGTATTAGGGCGAAAAACCGATAACATAAAGGATCACTACACATTGGGGCGGAAGCTAGGGCAAGGGCAGTTCGGAACCACGTTTCTCTGTGTGGAGAAGGCGACGGGAAAAGAAACTGCCTGCAAATCCATTGCGAAAAGGAAATTGACCACGAAAGAGGATGTGGAGGATGTTAGAAGAGAGATTCAGATAATGCACCATTTAGCAGGCCATCCCAATGTGATACAAATTGTGGGGGCTTATGAGGACGCTGTGGCAGTTCATGTTGTAATGGAACTTTGTGCGGGTGGGGAATTGTTTGATAGGATTATACAGAGGGGCCACTATACAGAGAGAAAAGCGGCTGAATTAGCTAGAATCATAGTCGGTGTCGTCGAAGCATGCCATTCTTTGGGTGTTATGCATCGGGATTTAAAACCAGAGAATTTTCTTTTCATCAACCAACAAGAGGAGTCACCACTTAAGACCATCGATTTTGGGCTCTCCATGTTCTTTAGGCCAGGTAACATCTTTCAACAGATTCTTTTGGTTTGCTGAAATAGTTTCCTCCAAATCACCCATCCTAAGCTTTGTTATTTTAGGTATGCTAAAACATTTAGTAGCACTTAAAAAGTTCTAATTTAATCCGTTATGTTTTAACCTTTTTCGTATATCATTTAAATGGGTTAATGTAAAACTAATTGAATATTAATTTAGTTGCCATATTAAAGTATCACGGATAAAACTAAAAAAAAAATGTTAAAGTCACCAATGAATGTTAAAGTAACCATCATTGGTGGTTCATTGATCCAAATGAAATAAGATTAATTAAGAGGGAATAAGTTCAACCTATGATGACCACCTACCTGAATTAGTAATTTCTATGTGTTTTCCGGCACCAAATGTTGTAGGATTAGACGGTTGTCCCGTAAAATTACTCTCGGACATTCACAGATATCAAAAAAAAAAAAAGTTAAAGGGTGGAGAACTAAATTTAAACTATAGAAACTCAATTGAAAAAACACCCAAACATTATAGACTATATTTAAATCTTACTTAGGTTGGTTTTGTTTGAATTCTACCACTAAAAGCAAATGGGTACCGAGGGGCATAAGACCTATTACTAGTAATTTTGTTAGTCAGCACGTGGTGATGATGATTGACCTTGTCCAGCTTACTTGATGCAGCCAATCTGTTGATCTAGAAATCACAGGCCGGCAGGCAGTATGTTGTTTAAAATAATATGCATTTAATTAGTGTATCTTTCTTTTTTTATGTATCATGGTTTTTCAAATAATTCGAATGACTGCATGTATAGAGAAGCTTGCATTATCTTTCGGTTATACTGTCTAAAGGGACATGGGGTATTGTTTCTGACGATCAAACAAAATGGTTAGGATCATGTATAGGCAACCCGTGACGGAAGAGTTGTGTTGATTTTAGATTGTTGCCCATGGTTAGCTAGCTACGTTTAAGAAGAAATCTAGTCAACGAGAGGTCTATTTGTTAACATCTCCAATTCTATTTCTTTTTGGTCTGACTGGAAATAGTTTCTTCTCAGGTGAAACTTTCACAGATGTGGTTGGTAGCCCTTATTATGTGGCCCCAGAAGTATTGCGGAAGCATTATGGGCCAGAGTGTGATGTATGGAGTGCTGGGGTAATCATTTATATTTTACTAAGTGGCGTGCCTCCGTTCTGGGACGGTGAGTTTCTGGATTAAAAAATCATAGCTTTTCGGAATTTTCAGCCATAAATTGTTTTTATAGGAATTAACCAACTTTATGTACATACCTTATGTAATAAAGTTCTTATGGTGTATGGTGACCAGAGACGGAGCAAGGAATCTTTGAGCAGGTTTTGAAAGGTGACCTTGACTTTATATCAGAACCATGGCCTAGTATATCCGGGGACGCTAAAGATCTAGTGCGGAGAATGCTCGTCAGAGATCCCAAAAAAAGGCTGACAGCCCACGAAGTCCTTTGTAAGTTTATACCTCTGGTGCATGCATTCACGGTTTTCAGTCTCGCAATAGGTCCACACTGACGTGATGGGTTTGAAAAGCAAAATCAAATTCTAGAAATTACTTGGGTATAGGGAAGCATAAAAAGAAAAATGTAAAATGAAAATATAGGCTAAATTCTTTTTATTGAATCTGCAATATTAAGTGAAGGATCAAATTCATTCTGTGGCTTATTTACTTTATCCATTGCTTCAAAATAAGACGTCGATGGGATCTAGCTGGAAGATTGGGTAACTTTTTCATCCCCTCATACAGTCCATTTGTGGGTATAAAATGGTTATAATTGACAGTCCCCATGCGTATCAGCCTAAGAGACTCTTGAAACTTCTTGTCATGCTCACAACATGTCTATGGTTTGGAGTATGAGATTGCCATTTTTCATGTTTTTCTCATGAAATTTGACTGTTAAGTTGTTAACAATGCTGTTGTTGCCTAGGATAGAAGTTTGCTTATCTTAACATACCTCAATGTCAGTATGTTTAATTAGCTTTCTAATAGGGCCTTTGTGATTTTGCAGGCCACCCATGGGTAAAATCTGATGGAGTTGCTCCTGACAAACCTCTTGATTCAGCTGTTCTAAGTCGTTTGAATCAATTCTCTGCCATGAACAGGCTCAAGAAAATAGCAATTAGAGTGAGTGTTCATCATCTTACTCTGATTCACATATCCAGTAAACCATCAACTAGCATGTATTGCAGTGTTGCATGTGCAGCTATCAAATACATTTTATACGAACATAAAAAATGCATTTTACCATGTGAAATGGTTTTGATGAACCAACTATTTAGTGTTTATGCAAATGTTACCTTGACGAATAGTTTGTGATTTGGTTGGTTGATTGCTCAAGGTCCTGTCTGAAAATTATTGTTATCCTTTTTTTTTTTTTAACAAGAAACGAATATATCTCAAAGATACAAACTCCCGAAGGTTATTGTTATACTTAGGCATATTCTTAATTCTGGTGAGAGGGCTTTACTCAACCTGTTGTTTATTTGTAGGTTATTGCAGAAAGTCTTTCTGAAGAGGAAATTGCTGGCCTCAAGGAGATGTTTAAGATGATAGACACAGACAACAGTGGTCAAATAACTCTTGAGGAATTGAAGCAAGGTTTGGAAAGAGTGGGTGCTAATCTTCAGGATTCTGAAATTAGTGGGTTAATGCAAGCAGTAAGTGATTCTATCTTGTCCCAGGACAAATTTATCTCTCTTTCTAACTTCATTCGATAACAAACAGAAGTTTATTTTTCGGATTCCACTTGATTACGTTTGATTTACTAGTCAAAAACTCAAGCTTCCGTTTAGATTTGGGAAAATGTGACACCTTTTAGTCCCTATCTGCTATATGGAAATGCATTACAGCTAGGCCAAGCTGGCTTGTAAGGGGCAATCTAAGAATAGTGAATGAGAAAGATGGATTTTAAATGGGCTCGTTTGTGGCATTGTCGGTGGAATGAATCGAGAAATTAAAAGCTTCAAAAGCTAGTAGTGTCCGATATGGTTGCACATGTATTTTGATTGCACGTACATTTGAAAGAACACGCAGTGCGGTTTTAATATCATTGACAATTTAAAGACACAATTTGAACGATTATCATATCAATGCTAATATTAAACTATCGTATAGTATCCTCCAAAAATTGAGAAACATATTTTGGCTGCAGAATTATAACGCCTATTTCTTCTATTGTTTCTAGTGAGATAAATTATTCATGGTTCATTCCAGCTTCGTGGAAGTCATAATTATTATCACTGAACCAAATGCTACTGAGTACCCGGGTTCCCAAGTTTTGTTTTTAAATATTATTTCAATTCAATATTTCAGGCAGATGTCGATAACAGTGGTACCATAGAATATGGCGAGTTTGTTGCAGCAATGCTCCATTTAAACAAGATTCAGAAAGAGGACCATCTCTTTGCTGCCTTCTCGTACTTTGACAAAGATGGGAGTGGATACATCACACAGGACGAGCTCCAACAAGCTTGCGAAAAGTTTGGTTTGGCAGACATCCGCTTAGAAGATATAATGCGTGAAGTTGACCAGGATAATGTAATTGTTGCCTTAGTTATTATTTATTCTCATTGGCTTCCTTTCTTGTTTGAATGACTGTGAAATCTAAAAGGGTTATCTCCCATTATAATCATCATGCCTTTGATCTATTTTCAGGATGGTCGAATAGATTACAGTGAGTTTGTGGCTATGATGCAAGACACTGGTTTTGGCCGGCAGGGATTGTAAAGCTGCATGACGACTGGAATTAGGGAAGCCTTAAGGCTTTAACTATTAACATGCCTAATTCCGGTTCCCAACCAAGAAGACAATTATATTTATTTTCTGGCCAGTAGGCCCAATACATGTTATTTCTACAGTTAGAAGTTGAAATTAATGCTATTTGTAAAGATGACAGGCTTCAGAGGGAGAGAGTTAGTTTCTTGTTTATGTTATTGTTTTTTCTTGTCCATATCAATTTGTTTTCTATTGAGAAATTAATTTGGAATAGATCCCAAGTCTGTTAATTGAAAAATTCTTATCATTATTTAATTCTTGTTCTTTGTTTACTGTGGTTCTGGGGCTCTATTCTATTCTTCTACAAGGACTACTCTGCTAAGTAACTCTTGTATATCTTTGCTGATGACATGATACTGATTGTGGTGATCTGAACATGTGACTTAAGAATTACTGCTGCCCTGCCTCATGGAGGTTCTTCACGTAAGTTCTCTTTAAGTAGAGCATATCTTCTGATATATTGAGCATGATTTTCTTTTCTTTTCTTTTTTTTGCAGGGCGGATGTGGCAGTTGTTGGTGCCTGGTGGTTAGAAATGCTAGAATCTTTTCTTGTTTATTGAACGTCTGGATGGGAATGATTGAAAGCCTGGAATATAATGAAAGGTTAAATTACAAGTTTGATTCTCAAACTTTCAAGCTTGTGTTCATTTAGTCCTTATACTTTAAAGTATCTAATAGGTTGGTTTCTTAACTTTTAAGGTTGTGTCTATTAAATTTCTCTTACATTAAATTTTTTTTAACACTCTTGAACTTTATTTTAGGTGCCTTTTGATAACTTTGTGGGTTCAAAACTTACATTGCATGCTAATTGTAATATTTTAGAATTATGTTGCGGTTGATTCTATGTTAGGTTTATGCATTTATTAGTATAAGTAGTAAACTGATCGAGTTCATGATGTTGACTCATTGGACACAAAATTAAAAGTTCTCACGAGTGTATTAGAATTTTTGTTTTCCATTGTAAGTACAAGGACAGTCTATTAGAATTTTGTTAAAATTTAGGAACTAGATAGACATGCCTCAAAATTCGAAGACCTATTAGAATTAACTCAAGAATTAAAAGTTCAGTGACCAAATTTATAGCCTAATGAGAATTTTGTTTGTCGTGGGATTTTACAAGCGGTAGCCATTTTGTCTTTCCAACTTTTTATGTGAATTACCATAGAACAGGATATGGAGCAACAACAATATTTTACTGATTTTGGAAAGGAAACGATGGCACTTTCTTGCTAAGTTCTATGCTTATGATGATTCTCATCTTCTCTTAATAGATTACCTGCGAGCTGTGAACTCCTTCACGTGAACCTGGCACCACCTTGCTTGGATATTAATATCTTCTACAGTACAGTCCTTCATTTTCCTTTTTGTTTTATTTACTCCAACCATCTACTCTTTTAAAATGCTACTCATATGCTTTTTAATTGTGACCATTTATTGATAGGGCAGTATTCATATATCACTATTTTATTCAGTTATCAATGCCCTTGATAAGATAACAAGGGGTGAAACATTAACAGTACATGAAAGGACGTGTAAATTAAAACCTGTATTTGTTTGTTTTTTTGTTTGGTATCAAGACATATCATTCAGCTTGCCTCTGTATTTGACCAAAATAATGTACCAGCTATGCAGAAAGCTGCGTAAAACTTATTTGAGTTTCGTTTCTTAGATGTTTGTCGTATTACGACCACGTACATGTAATGTTTCATTAACTCTAGGTCTCTGGCAATAACCATGTGCCAATAAATGTTGGTCCTTCACTGAGGTCATTTTTATTTTGATAAGTGTTTCTGATTGTGGATAGCTGACAAAAGCTGGTAGAGGGAAGCTTCCAAGTATTTTCTTGCGCCTATGTGGAAGATTTCCTAATCGTCACTAAAGGGGAATTATATCATTTACTTGGAACAGTTCACACAGGTACTATAAGGAGGCCGCATTTGCCAAGCCACCTAACAGGTAAAGGATTCAGTAATGTGTTCTCTGTTCAAATTGATTGATTTGTTCTTGGGACAGGCTTGTATAAAGTTGTATAAGATAACTAAGCTTGCTTATAGTGTGGATTAGAGTATTTCATTTCATCAATACCCTACAATTTCTTTCAAAAATACAAAATAATTTTTAAAATTTTCATGATATTTGGCTATATATTAGAAAAGAAATCCGAAAAACTAGATACATATTGTTTATTTCGTTTCAGGGCAATCGTTCATTCCAATACAAAAGTGATAATATGAAGAATATGAATTCAGAGACATAAAGGAGTCTACTGTAAGTATTGTTATCATTATCTCAAGCTCTTATCTTGATCTAAATATTAATGCTTTTATCTGGATCTAAATATTAGTGATTGCTTTTCACTTTTGATGCACCTCATATTTATCTTAATGACCAGGGGCACTTCTCTTTCAGTCATGGGCTGGTTGAAGCACATGATTTTTTTATTGTTGGACTAAACAGCACATGATCTCTGACCTAACACTGTTTTTATTTTCTCTCTTTCTTCTTTTTCACACAGCTGATGCCTTTTTTTCTTTTTTCTTTTCAATAACCTCATTACAGTTAACTTTTCCCTTCATTTTCAAGCCAGCAGATGAAAGTTGGAGAAGGCAATGGAAAGTTGTCCAATTCCCACCAACCACTGTCACCTTCTAACAAGTTAGTTACCTTTCTTTTGTCAATTTCAGCTTCTTGCACCATATGAGTCATTTTGTTGCTGTTTGTTGCCCTATATATATCATTAAGAACTTTCCACATTTAATTCAAACAGGTAGAGAAAAACAGTGTTGTGATTTCTTAGGTCAGCCACACCTACACCCTTATTCACATTACTGGAGGGTCATGCATGCTCTGAGTGATGTTAAAAATCTCTTCTCCTTTCTTTTCGAATCAATATTTTGTTTCTTCGACACAAAGAACATGTTTCGATAGCTACTTTTGTAAAATTTTCCGGTCCTGAGAATAAGCATTCCACAGACTCTAGATCAAAAACAATGCTCAAAAGTTAATCTGAGCATCGCTCAACTGGTTAAAATATATATCTCCGACCAAAAGGTTAAAGGTTCAAATCCCCAACTCCAGTATCGTTGAATTCCAAAAAGAAAAAGGAAAGAAGACATTGCACAACACCTCAACCTTTTTAAATTGAAGTTGCCTATTCTAAGTTGGATTGATCTTGATATCTTTTTGTAGTTCAACTCGTGGAGTGGGTAGAAATTTGAATATCTTTTATCTTAGAAAATAAACGTATAATATCTTAATCAATTGAGTTGTGTTTGGGTTGACCGTTGATTTCATATCTTTTTTTTTAGTACAACAAATGTGAGGATGGGAGATCGAACTTCCGACCTCATGGAAAGGAATAAGGTATTTTAACTATTGAGCTATTGCTCATGCTGGGAAATCTCATAGTTTAGTTAAATTTAGAATGGTTTTAATTTATTGCTAGAAAAATTTTCTCATATGATCTTGTTGGCAGGGAATTTGAACCCATTTCTTCCTTGATTGATGGTTCCAAAGTCCACATCTTGGCATGTGGATGCTGATAGCCCCTTAACTTGGCCTTCTGATCTTTGGCTTTGCATATGAAAAGTCAAGTAAGTGACCTAAAAGTAGAGCTTTTAACTTTCTAATTCTTTTTCTTTTCTCGTACCAAAGTAATGGCTGGATGGATTGCTGAACACCTTTTAATTAATAGTCTCTTATTTTTTTGTTTATTTATATATTTTTAGTAGCTCTTTGATGACTTGATTGTCAATTTATGTAATTATGAATACAATTTTGAACTAGTCAGCAACCAAAAACCTACTTATTGGATGAATGAGTACTAGTCAGCATCTTTCTTCTGTACAATCATTAAATTTTTTACTAGAAAAGATAAATGCAATTTTTTTCAAAAAAAGTAATAGACTATTAATTTGAGTGGTGGTCAACATAAAAAAGGAAAAAAAAAAAAAAAAACTTCTATGTGTCTAGGTTTGAGAAATACATAACTTTTGTTCAAAGCATACAACCATCTTATTATATATGAAATTCCCTTCCATTTTTTAAATTTAATATTTCTCAAAATTGAAAAAGGAAACGGTTAGATCTATTATGCTAACGTGATAAAATAGTCCAAATTAACAAAAAAAATATATTTAAATACTACTTTTCCCCATCTTTTGGTTTGGGTTCAGGTTCATTTTGATATTTGTACTTTCAAATTTTTGTTTATTTTAGTTATTAGAACATTTGTTTTTGTCTTTATACTTTTTAAATGTGACCATTTTTGTCATTTGATTTTTATTTTTGTCAATCATAATTTTAGTCATAAATTTGTATTAAAATTTTGTAAATAGAAATTAAATTAATTATTTTTTAAAAATATGAAGATCAAAATAAATATTTAAAAAGTTGAGATTAAAAAATCAAATGAATGTTTTAAAAGTAGTCTAAAATAAACTAATGTGAAACTTATAGAAATGAAAATAGTATTTAACTTAAAATTTGCAACCTCTAAATTGATTGATTCCACTAAAAATAAAATTGGAGGCAATAAAAAAATTCCCAATCGCACTAAAAACAATATGGTGCTTTTTAAATAAAAAGAAAAACCAAAACATACAGTTGTTGGAAAAGTAGTCAAATCTTGATGATTGTGAAAGCCAAAAAGATATCGTTTGGAAAAAGGAGAAAAACTAGAAAATGAAAATAAATACTTTTTGAAGCAAAAAAAAGAAGAAAAGATATTAACGTCCCATCGGGAATGCGTGATCTTAAAAGTCCACGTGGAAGGACCACGCGCAAAACGCGTTATCCTCCATCCACGTGTCCCGCGGTGACTCACAGCCATCCATCCAGCTGTCAGCAAACAGCTTGCTCCTTCTAATCCTGAAACGTGGCAGGAGAATGACGGGTAAGCTGGCTTCCATTTTCTTTTTTCTTTTTCTAGTCAATGGCAAAGATATTTAAAGTGACAAGTTCTAGCAATTATATATATATATTCAGAAACATCAATTTTTACCCTCAATTTGATAGCGTGTATCACTTTCCACTCCCAAACTTTTCGATTTCATATATTTATACTTTAAATTCTGATGAGTATTACAATCTTAAATTTAAACTTTAAAAACTATGGTAATTTTTATCTTATAGTTGATTTTCATTTAAAAAATACTTGAAAAAAGTATTCGCAGATGCAAGAGTGATAGGATCGGGTATTTTATTTTTTTTTAATTTGTAGGTTTTAGTAGAATTATTTAATATTTTTTATTAATCAAACTTAATTAGGTATAAAGCTGGATTTTTATTAAATTTATTTATTGTTAAAATTAGTAATAGATGATGAAAATGAATGGAATTGAAAATTTAAGATGAGAATTAACCCAACTTGTCAAATTTAATAGTATAAATTGATTTTTTTTCTTTTTTTTTTCTTTAAGAAATAATTTGGTATAAATATGATGGCTTTTAAAATTATTCTAGTTTGTTTTATTTTCAAAATATCTACAATAAATCTTGATCTTTAAAAATTTGAGGTTAAATTATAAGTTTGGTTCTTAAATTTCTAAAGTTTGGTTTATTTAGTTCGTGCAACTTTAAAAAAGTTTCTATAGTTCGTTAAATTTTTAAAATTGTGTCTGTATAATCTATGAACCATTAATTTTGTGTTTGATGGGTCATTGACGTTAACTCAATGTGTTGTTTAAGGAATATGGCTGGTCGGACATCTGGTGATATAATCATATATGAACGGAGTTAACATAGTGATTATTAAACATAAAATTGAAACTTCAAAAACGTAGTAGAAACATTTACCAACCTAAACATATATAGCTTAGGTTAAGACACTTATCTCCGTCCAAAAAATCGTGAGTTCGAATCCCCATCTCATATATTGTACTAAAAAAAATAGTATAAACATTTTAAAATCGATTGAAAGATACCATCTTAAAAGTTTATGATGTGTGGCTAATATATAGGTTTTTATATCAACTAGACAAATTTATTTTTAAAAACTATTTTCGAATTCTGTGATCAAAATAATAAAAATTATAAAAATAATATTTAACTACATGCAAAAGAAATGTAGAACATTGAAAGGTAGAACTACATGCCAAAGAAAGATTTGATAACATACTATTTCATATTATAAACTGATTTCATTGAGTATATTATAAATTATACAATTCTAGAAAATTATAACAAAAATATTAATAAATAAATTAATATTAATTTATAAATATTGAATTGACTTCTAAATTTATTATTAAACATATTTTTAAAAATATTGAGAAACAACTTAAATCGATTTTTTATTTAATCTCTTGTTTCTATATATATATATTCGAATCATCCAAATGCAATCTATTTCGATAAATAAACTTGTAATTTAACCAAAAAAAATAATTAAAATAAAAAAGAAATTGAGAGGGAGGGGGGCCAGAGGGAGGAGCAATGACAGAGTAGAAGGTCACGTCCCTGTCACGTGGCATTGCCTGAGGAGTCGGGCACCGCCCTTCTGCTTATAGTTTTTTTTTTCTTTTCTTTTATAAAAACAAAAATAAATAAATAAAAGATTGAGAGTTATTAATGCGTTTGCCTTTTTCTCTTTGCCACTTAGTACTTTTCGTCTCTCCTCTCTCTTTCTCTCTCTCTCTCTCCAAATATTTTTTCAACTATTTTTCTCTCTCTCAAATTCTAGTTTATCCATTTCTTATTTCATTTAACAAAAAATATATATATATATTCGATAAATTTTTCTGTACTTTTAAAAAAATTTTAACGAATACTCTCAACTTTCAAACGTGAGAAAGTTTGTGCATGATTTCTATGGTTAACTTTGTCAATTTAACATTTGACATGTCATATTGATGATATTATTTTAAGATTATATGAAAGAGTTTATTTTGAGCCGATTCAACTGTGACACCCATTCGAGAATAACTTATAGAATAACGCACTTAACTTATTACCATTTGAAAGATATATGGTTCGATCCAATCTTTCTGTAATTGTTAAATAATTTGTATTAAACGCAGAGTTAAATGATGCATTAAATTTTTTTGAAGTATTAAGACGGATAAAACAAAAAAAAATTAAACTAGAATAAGTTAACAGAAACAACCACAAAACTTCAATTTAATATTTTATTAGTTTTAAATTTCTAGATTTATCTGATTTTAAAATTTTAGAAAATTAATCACAGTTGTTATTCTTCCCTAAACATTTTCCCTTGTTTTCTCTATTTGTTGTTGGTGACTAATTAATTTAATAAAATACTTATTATTATTTTTCCTTTCATAATAAATGTATTATATATTAATATCTATATCAACCAGCTTATTTAAATTATATATATGTTCACGTTTATTATACACCTTTAGATTTTTCTTTTTGAAACGGTTATACGTATTTTAAAATTGACTTGATATGAGAAGGAACAAAATAAAATTATATTTAACAAAATATGGAAGAAAATAAATAATGTAACATTTTTTTAATGTTACTTTTTGTTGAAAAAGTATTATATCTATATATATATATATTTTAATTATCTCTATATTTCCATATATTCCCTTTCATGCATGAATATATATATATATAAATGGGGGAGGTTAATAAATAGTTTTGAATGGATTCGTTAGATATATAATTTGTGTTGAAAGATTTGAAATAGAAACAAAAAATAACACTTTTCAAAAGTACTTAAACATGCTAGAAAAATGTGAAAATAAAGAATAAAAAAATCAATAAATATATTTAAGGGTGAAACGTGGCAAATTGTGGTGGATGGAGGATGAGCAATCACCCAACCAAAATACATCTAACTTGTTACCATTAGCTGCCAAAATTGTCCTTTTTTTTTCTTTTTTTTTTTCTTTTTATAATATTCCTCTTCACTACACCCACCATTACTAAAAAAAAATTAAAAATTAAAATAATAAGCATTTTAAATTTAACTTTCAATGCATTGCTTTTTACATTAATTATGAAGAAGGTCAAAACATTATATCTTTATTATAACCCAATATGCATTCACTAAGCTTTATACATATACAACTCAATTATTACTAAAGACATATTTTTTATTGGTGTAAAATCTTTGCAAGTGTTATGTAATTGTTAATTAATAAATTATTAGTCACTAATAGGTCAACCTCATTTATTCGGTAAAATTTCTCATAATTCTTCTTTTTAGTATAACAGTGCAGCGTAGATGATTGTGTCAGCTTCGATATCAAGAAAGATAATAGATGTCTTTATCCACTAAACTAGTCTTGAATTAACATGTGTGATGCGATATCAATATATATGTATAGTATTTCCGCACATAAAAATTTAAATCTTATATATATTTTTTTGGTTAATTCAAGACTTATTTAGAATTCGTCAGTGTATAAACAGCGTTCGTGCACCAAACAATTTCGTATACGTTTCTCTCGCTCTCTCAAATTTGAACCTCTAATCATGCTAAGTTAGAGTTGAGTATAGTTTAATCAATCAATAGATTGTGGTTCGGAAAAGTTGTAGACACTTAGAAATAATAATATTGAGCATTAAAGAAGGGGAGGTGTGAATTAGATAATGAGAGGATAAGATCATAATGGCACAACTCATTCCTTTTTCTTGATGACACAAAATAATGAACCAAATATTATTAAAGCCATGTTTGGTTTCTTAATCATTTGAAAAAAAAAAAAACATGAAAGTTCTTGAATGATAAATTTGATGAACTGTTTGTTAGTTATAATTATGATTTATATTATAAGGTGAGAATTTGAACCTTCAACCTTAAGAAAAGAAGTAGATGTACAACTATATTCATGTTACTTGATGAACTTTGATAAAAAATTTTATTGCTTAATGGTTCTATTAGTTGAAGATTTAGTAGTTCTTTGAGTAGGAAATTGTATGATTAATAAAATTAATTATCTTTCTGTTCTTATTTTATAATTGTTTTAATTTAAAGATTTTATGAATAATGGTTTTTATTATCTTTTAGAGTGAAGATTTGAATCTCGGACCTTTTGATAAAAGGATGTATATCTTTAGCTAGTCGAGCTATTGACAATTAAAAATGTTTGACAATATTAAGAATGAAAATAGAATATTTATTAAATAAATTTAATTATTTTCTTAATTATATGATAACTATTTTATTTTTTTTTAAAATACGCTTGTTCACCTAGGCTCTCTGTTCTATATATAATATATTTCCTAAAAGCACTTTTAAAATTGCAACGAATTTTTAAAATAATTTCTAAAAAAACACTGAATTCTTTTTTATATTTGACTAAGATTAAAAGAATTGGTTTTAAAAAACTAGTAATTACATTATCTTCTAAACAAAAATTTATTACAAAACTCAAAACTGGTCATATTTTTCCTTATTTCATGTGTGGATAATATTATTTTTTTCTTTTTATATTTGAGTTGATAATTAAAGACTTGAAAAATTGTTGTGGTGGGCATCCTTTTTGTATTGGATATTCAAAATATAGTATTTCTTTTATGTTTATCCAAAATTGTGGCCAATTTTTGTTGTTATACTGGCCAATAAATCAAACTAACTATTTAAAAAAATTTTAAAAATTGATGTCGTTTAGCTTACGTTAGTAAATCTATATAACTGGACATGGTTGCATTTACCATTTCTTTTATTTTTACTTTATAATAAAGTTATTTTTGCTACCAAAGTTTTAATTTAGTGAATAGAACTACTCTTAATTATTCAAAAGTATTATCCAAAAAAAAATTCAAAAGTTAAAAAATCATGATGTTTTTTTACACTTTTTTTTTAATTGTTTCATATAAGTATTGAATTTTGTATATATACTATTAAATGCTATTTATTGAACAATATTATTTAGTATATATACACATACAAGATAATGTATCATAATTCCATCAAAAGAAAGAAATGTAAACATCAGTGGATCAAAACAAACTTCCAAAAGTTTTGTTCAATTCCTTTGTAAAGAGGTAATGTAAGAGCAAAGTATGGCCTCACATTTGGCCACCAAAAAGGACCCAACTCCAAATAAAATAAATAATAAATAAATAATACGAGCTCTCCAAATACTCTACAAAAACTTCATTAATGTTTAAAGTTTTCCCTTAACTTGACCGAAAACCCCAACTTAGAAAGCAAAACGACACACGAAAAAACCTCGAATGTCATCACGACATCATTAATATCTTAGCTTATTTTTCTACGATCATATATATATATAAATATATTGATTGTTGTATATGATATTATACTAGAGGCTATGTACTACCTTAATTCGATAGAAATTGCCTGAAAATGAAACTGGTCTCTATGCACACGAAAAAAACGAATCTTCCGAACACGTGTACGGCTAAGATGGTAGGGCTATTTGAGAATGATTGATGCCTGATGGCATGGTATAAAATGTCTAAGAAACTAATTACCATGTCTAAAGTTACATCATTGCCACAAATATGGCACAATTGTTATATACTAGATAACACAAGGGTACTTTTGGTACTAAGAAATAAACTATTTCCTCCTCTTATTGCTCTTTATATAAGAAGTGAATGTGCACCATTGAAGGTGCAATAGATTGAGCCACCTCTCTCTCTCTCCAAGTTCTTCACTATTATCTCTCCACTCTCCTCCTTCAACATCACAAAAAAGGTAAACACAATATGAACTTATATATATATATGTATATATGTATGGATATGTTGTTTCACAATGATGAATGTCAAAACTTAACTGTCTCACATTGCACTCTCTTCATTAGGTAGGAAGGTTGAGCAACATGGAGAAAACAAGTTCATTAGGCCTGGCGAGGACGAAATCGGATCAATTGTTGGAGAAGGTGACAGCGGCGTTCAAGTCTCCAACGTCGAGCGGCGAGGCCAATGGGGTGGTGGCTGAGAGTGGCAGCATGACCATGTCGAGGAAGTCGAGCAGGCAGATGCTGACAGTTCCTTCACCGGGCCGTGGCGGGGGTGGGGGTGGGGGCAGCGGGGGCAGAAACACACACATCAGGAAGTCTAGGAGTGCACAACTGAAGCTGGATTTGGATGACTTGGGCAGTGGTGCAGCTCTGAGTAGAGCTTCAAGTGCGAGCTTGGGCTTGTCATTCTCCTTCACTGGCTTCACTCTCCCACCTGATGAAATTGCAGATTCCAAGCCATTCAGTGATGAAGATATACGTAAGTAATTAATTCTAAATCAATCTGCAACTTCGATTTTCTGAGCTCTATGGAAATAATTTGAGTTGAAAATTTACACAGAAGCAAGAACAGTACAATGAATATTATTCATGAAAGGAAGTTATTTAAATACAATATATATAGATATACTGCTATTTTCGAAGATTTGTCGTCGCTGTCTTCTTCTTCTTCTTCATCTACTTTCTTTTTCTGTTCATGTTTTCTTCTTACTTTTTGATATGGTCCACACAATGTATTAAGCCACAAAGAGTTTCAGAGAAAGTAAACAAAAAGGTTCAGTCCTTTAGCAAACTCTTATTCATTTTTCTGGTCCCCCTTTGTTTGGTAAAGGGAAAGTGTCAGGGTTTCCCTTATAATGGGAAAACTAAAAACAGGTGTGCAATAAAAGTACTCAAAATCTTACGGCTGTATCTGTATGTCTGACCTTCTGCCCTCTCGCTCTCTCTCTAATTATAAATTACATATGTTTTAGTCTTCCAAAGCATGGGAAAATAAACGATTATAACGTTTAAGAAAATTACATTTTTTTAATCTTTTTCCGAAACTTGTGTGCCTATTCTTAGTAATTCCCCCCAATTTCATGTACTGTAAGTACAATTTTGGAATGTATTCCCCTCTTTTAATTTAAAATACCCCATGCAACAGCCAGTTTGTCTTGGCTTGCATTTTCTCTTTGT